TAAATCTTCTTCAAATAGTCTATAACCAGAAATAATATAAGGTATCTATACATATTTTACTTAAATGAGCACATTCTTAAAGAGGAAGGCAATTTTAAGTAACTTATTCTACAGGGTTTTTTTTTTAAATGGATGCAGGGATTTCTTTTCTCTGCCGTAGTAATACTTATTATAATATCCTTTGAATGGGAAAATCATATCTCACTCAAGAGTACCCGGCTTATTGCCAATTGAAGTAATCATTTACAAAGTCCAGGGTTTTCAGAGAGTGTTTATTTTGATAACGGTCTAGGTGTCGTTAGGTCTCTGAGATATGACAGTATTACTTTGTGTTAGCCTGCGATAGGGAAAAAGGCTTGTCTGGATTATCATATAAACCCTTTCACTGTGAGTACCTACTGCTTCCTCCGGCACTTACAGATTCCCCCTGGCCACCACAACTCTGTTTAAAGGTAAGTGACAATGATTTCATTTGTAATCTTACTATTTCAAAATTGTAGTTATGTTTCCAACGACCTTACCCTTTCATTGTAAAAACACATAACTCAGACTATAGTCATTTTTTTTAAATAAGAAATAACTACTTTGCTTAAATCTCAAAAGAACCAAAGTTTCATGTTTCTTAAAGAAATTTTCTTCCAGAGAACTACCTTGTTGTTTAGTTAAAAGTAAAGCAAATATACGGTTTAGCCAAAAGATTAGTCATGTGCCTACGTACCCCTGACTGTCCTGGCAATGCTAAATATCATTTCTTGAGCCCCTGGGGAGACACGGAAGAACAAAAAGAAATAAGAGATTCGAGAAGTTTACAAGAAGATGGAAAGGAAGAACCTGCATTTGGGAGCAAGCTAGATCATTCTCTGAACCTGTTGGTAAGATGCGCTGAATTGCCTTATAGACTAGTCGGTCATGTGAGTCAAGAACATCTGAGGGTGACAGTTCAAAATAAAATGGACTTTGCTCTACACTTCTCTAAATGCTCGCAAAGCCATTTTCAATGATATCATGGGATCGCTGATTTTCAGAGTTCAAGAGAGGATGTCAGTTATGAGAAACCTGCAGAATTCTTGCCCTTCTGCAGTGGAAGAGTTTTCTTAACTCTATTCCTCTGTCACTGAGCATTCGTTTGTTCCATGTTTGTATGAATCTTGTATAGTAATGGGTAAAATCTCCTCATATAATTTTAGATATCTCCTTAATGCCTAGAAATGTTAGATATGAAGAAATAATTTGATAATACGTGCTAGGCATGAATTTTAAAAAATAGAGAAAAAATTATTTGAATAAAAATTATCTTTTTAACATAAAACAATTTTTCTCATAACAAGAAAATGTTATAAAAGGAGAAACTATCAATTAGCTCTTTTATTAACTTCTCCTCAAATAAGAAGCCTTGATGTACTATCTTAATTTAGAGCATTTCCCAAATTGCATCAGAACAGTTAGAGCCAAAGAAGAAATCAGAATGTTTTATAAAGGTTCTGTTCATGCTGTTTTTGACAATTGAAATAAAATCCACCTATACTTTTCAAACTTTTGGAGATTAAAACAGATAGGGTCTGCTGAGAACCAAGAATTGGTCATCTCCTGTAATTCAACTTCTCCCAATCATTTACATGCTGATTCCACAAAATACTTTAAGAATTTGTTTTCTCTAAAATTGAGAGAATTATTCAGGAAGATATCTCTCTTCAAAATCTAATAAGGAAAAACAAATCAATAAACAGCAACAATAACAAAACCTTCTGTTAAGTTTCCTTGTTGAAGCGATTCCTGTGTAAGAAGATCTCAATTTGGGGTAAGGGATGGGGTGGTGGTCTGTCTAGTGATTAAGAGGGTAACTTCATATTATTTAAGAACTCCAGCTCCTTATGGCCTTTAAAGAAACCACCCAATCTGGAGCTCGGGTCTGATATTTATTAGGAGTCACACCATTCTGTCTGATCACAGCCTAAATCCTATCTGAACTCTCTAGTCCAACATCCAATGGTTCTGTGCTGCTAAGGAGAACCAGAAAAGGTGAGTTATTGACCTGTGAACTAAAATCAGCCGGTGAGTGCAGCGATCATTTTTATAATCAAAATAGCCTAGGACTGTAGCAACTTATCTATGAATTAGATTTTTAAAAGCTTGGATAAAAAGCATAGAAAGCATCTTTAGTTTCTGCCTACACTCTCCAGACAATAATAATTCTGTCTTTGTATCTCTCTCAATCAATGCCTTGTAGCACACAATGGATACTCAAATGTGTGTGTTGATTACATTTTAAGCTGAGGGACATATTTAGCCATATGTCAATGAATTTGGTTGGTTTTATTTCAACACTTTTCTGAGATTGTAGGAAAGTTCAAAAAACTTACTGATTTATTAAGAGAAAATGCTCTAACTTTTGAGCATATTGGAGAAACAATTTTTATATCTGATATCAAGCTTTTGGCTTGAACAAAAATTTATAAAATGATGAACCCCATTTTTTTAATTGAAGTTTTCCTTCATCATAACTAAGGAGTGTAATCACATTAAAATATAATCAGAAACTCACCCTCTGAGACACGTGAAGGATTTCAGAAGGGCAATTTAAAAATATCAAAATTTTAAATTTGCATATCATTTGAGCCATTTTACTGCTAAGAATACACCTGTTGGCCCTATGGATGTACTATAAAAGTATGTTAATATATATTACAAAGCAGTTTATTGCAGTGTGTGTATACTAAATATACACAATTAAGATAATGGTTAAATCCAATATAATACATCCACAGGGTATATAACTATGTAGCCATTAAAAGGAATTAAGTAGATCATGCATATGTGTATATGTATAAGCTGATGTGTGGAAAAGTTTTCCCTTTTTTGGATACCCACAAAAAAGAGAAAACAGTTATTATGTGCGGCAAGAGGTTCTGGAGACAAGTAGAAGAGAACTCAGAACTTTTTCTGTTCTGCTTAAATTTTGCAAATATAGGGATATATTATTTGTATTTTTTTAATATCAACAGAAGTTTTCTGGTTGGTTTATTATAAACCATCTTAATTTTCCTCTTCATACATTTCTATATTTTTAGAATACAGTAGATGTTATTAAATGAATAAGAAATGAATTAACTAAATGTATTACAAGTGTTTAAAAATAAATCTGAATCTCAAGAGGTCTAGTTTTCATTTCAATCAACTATTACAACAAACTAAAGATAAGCCAGTTATACTATAAACTATTACTTTTTCTAAAACAATGACTGAAAATTGAACAGAATTAAAGTCTATGAAATATCCTTAATCTGGCAGAAATAATAAGAGCTGTATTACAAAAGTTGCTGTAATTATGGACTCAAATTGCATTATTCAGACTTCACTAAAACCCATTTGTAAACTTTCTTCTACTCAAAATCTAACAATATTTATTATGTACTAGGCTTGCTCTCATTTTTCTAAATGCTGAAATGAACAAAACAGGCCCCCCCCCAAAAAAAATCAACCACCATGGTGTCCGCATTCTAATGATGAAGAATCAAGAGAAGAGGAGATACTTATTTAAACTTAATAATTTATATGTAGGAGGGGATATATAACAGAGAAAAATAAAGCAGTGAAGGTGGATAGGAAACACTGCAATTTCCAATAAGATGGTCAGGGATCTGATTTTATTTGTAAGATGAAAAATAACTAAAGCCATACGTCTACATTGCTTTGATTATGAATCTCATTCAATATCGAAACATATTTTTGATTTTCACATGATCTATGCTGTAATTCAAGGAGCCCCTAATTTTGAAAAATGCATGACCAACAGCTACAATTGAATTTGTAACACTCTTAAGTGTTATTACTAATTTGAAAAACTAATACACTAATACTTATTAAGTGATAATTGTATGCCAAGGGTTGTTTTAAGCAATTTAAATGAATTTTCTTACTGAAATCTGGCAAACATTTTTTGAAGAAGGTAAAAAAGTATTATTCCTATTTTATAATGAAACTGAGACAGAGAAATTAGGTGAATGGCATTTTACTTCTTTGAATGAAAGTAATTATATTAATTATAGCAATATTTTCTCTATATTTAATCACATTGCATACTTTCTTAGAGATATAAAGATCAAAATGGCAGTATTGGGGGGCAGACATGGTTTTGCAAATCTCTTTCAATAATTCACAGATCCCCAAGGTTCCACAGCACACAGGTGGGAACTATTGGTCAAAATTTTCTCTGGCATTCAGCCACATCTGGACAAAGCCCCTTGTGGCCTGGGTGACAGAAATCCAGCCATCGAGAGATGCTCTAGTATAGCACAATAATTAGTTATTAGAAATTCAGCACTGGGATTGACCTCGCCTAAGAATGAGGAGGCTTGGGCTCTTACTTGTCATGTAACCTCAGCGTTAGTGCATCTCCTTCAGCCTCAGTTTCATCATCCATAAAAAGAGGAAGTTTAACCTTCTGGTTTCCAAGATCCATTCCAGCTCTAACTTCTATGACTCTAGATAGAGGTAATCAGACAGTGAGTTCTCTCTTTAGCAGGTTTCCAGGATATCAGGAAACTAAATAGAGCTTCCAGCAGAATGGTTCTGACATCCTCCCCAGTCCCTGAAAAGTATGAAAACCTAAAATGTACTTGACAGTCCTGACCACATAAAATGAGCAGTTGTTTTGAAAAGTATAAAGTTATATAAGAGTTCTCATTTTGGATTGAAATGGGTTACAAATATAATACTACACAGTTTGTCTTGTAGCCTATCACTAACAGTTCAGAGACACTCATAGTGGGGGTTGTAACCATGGAAATATCCGCCCTAAAAATCTTTAGAAATAGGATTTGTACTCATGAGCATGTGAATTTATAGGTGTAAACTTGCCAAAAAGGCAGGCAGGGAGATGCAGATGTTTTCTAAGATAATATCTGAGTCTGTAACTGAGAATGGTTTGTAAAGTTTTACCCCTAACAGGTGTTCGATGTGTATTATATCATTCTTCTTCAGGGCCTGGAGGCTCTCAAGGCATGGCCAGATACTTCATCTTGTATTTCATCCTGCTGAGTGCTCTAATTGATAAGAGCCAAGCTTGTTTCTGTGATCATTACCCATGGACTCAGTGGACGAGCTGCTCAAAAACCTGCAATTCTGGAACACAGAGCAGATGGAGGTGGGTGTGAGCTATGGAGCCTTTTGTGTGGCCAGGGAAACCTCAAGGACAGAGTTAGCAATGTCAAAAGTAGCACACGAAGCAATGGGAAAAAAACAATATATCTCAAAGTAAGAACTCAGGAATTTGGATGGAATTTGAGATCCTCTCCACATGAAGTTGAATGGAAGTCTAGTTTTGTTCTTTCCATAAAATTGACAAAATAAATTTAATTAATAATCTGTGCAATATTTCCAGTTGACTATTTACCTCACTTAGAATCACCACTCAAGTTTTTTTTTCAATCAGCATATAACTCTGCTTGCCTCCAGTTAGTGAGTTAATTACAGAGAATTTTCTATTCATTAAACTGAGTCTAACAGGACCTCAATTGAGCAGCACTGCTAGCTATTAGCTTGATTGTTGGCATGTACAAGAAGGCAAGAAAACTGTTGACTTGGTAACATTTAATAATTCAGTCTTTTCACCAATTCAAACTAATTGTCCCTCCACCCCTAAGTTTTTTTTGTTTGTTTATTTGTTTTTTAATCTGTTAGGTGTTTTCGTTTCATGGAGATGCTCACATGACTTGGGGGGGAAAATATATATTTACTGTGTTTTAACTATTATGACACTTTTTAGAAACCTATTTTAGAAAATGATTTTTGTGTATGTAGTGAGAGTCTCATTAAAAACACCAATTGACTTCTCCAGTAAATTGTCCACTAAGTATGTAAAAACAGATTTGTTTATAATATTCCTCTACTCAAGAGTCCCTAAATAGCTCTCTTACTGCCTACCAAATAAAATACAACAAAATATTTGGTTCCTCTCAGCCGTGTACTTCTCAAGCCCATCCCACAAGCTCCAGTGCCTCTAATCTTTACACGTTTCGTTCCCTCCACACGCCCTTCTTTTTGTTGCCTGGAGAATTCACATACATTTTTCAAGATGTATCTCTCATGTCACTTTCTCTTTGATTCCGTTCCACACCACTCTGATTCCATCTCAATTATTGTACTTATCACATTGTGTTGTCATCTTTTAAGCAATTTATAAGAACTTTCTCCTTTCCTTTCTCTCCCTTCCAGTCCCTTCCAGAAATTCCATCATGGGTCACCTTCATAGTGTGTGACCTACACAATCACACAGGACCCTACACTTAGAAGGGCTCCATGCTTGGCTTAATGCTCTACCATCACTGTCTTGAAATTCTTAACAATTTTATTTATTTATTTGTTTGTTTGTTTGTTTATTGGGAGTGACATTGATTAACAAAATCCAATAAGTTTCAAGTGTACAATTCAACAGTAAGTCATGTATATATTTCATTGCGTGTAAATAAGAGGCCCCCCTTTTCATTTCACACCGGGCCCCACAAATTATATACCTGGTCCTGAACTCCATTAGATTGTAAGAACTGCACATATGCCAACCTCCTTGATTTTCTATGAAAACCTTTTCTTTCATTCACTATAGCAAATGCTCAATGATATTTTCTTATAGGGCTGGAGCCACAGTGAATATACTCATTCTAAGCAGCTTTTTCTTCACTATTACAGACAAACAGTAATAGATAAGTACTATTTGGAGAACTCTTGTGACGAGCTTTGCACTAAGCAGGAGACCAGAGAATGTAATTGGCAAGCTTGTCCTATCAACTGCCTCCTGGGAGATTATGGACCGTGGTCAGACTGTGACCCCTGTGTTGAAAAACAGGTAGGTGACACATGTTCACGTTCAGGAAATCTAAATCACAATAAAAAGGCTTGGATTCCCTGAAAGGCTCAACAATCACAGAATTGCTGAATTTCTTCCATTTCTGAAAATAAACTTTCTCACCTTCCACTGAGGGAAAATTTCATCTAGCATTTGGGGCGAAGGGGAGGGGAGGGCTGGGAGTTCATTTTACATGTTTCACTGCCGTATGACCACGAAGAGGAAATTCTGCCCCAACTATTGGCATGGAAGCTGCCCAGCTCTGTGCTCTCTCAGAGCTCGGAAGCAAAAGCAGGTGCTAGAAAATGGAGATTTGAGTCCAAGGTTTAAAATCAGACAGAAATGAGGAGCACTGATCAGAAGCCTGACTCCTCGCCCTTCCTTTAATTTCCCTCTCCCCATGGGAAAGTCCCTCTTTTTGTTTATTGTTCCCAGCTGCAATATTTACCCACCTCAAGCTCTTTCCTGTAAGGACATTGCCCGTGTGAACTCCAGTTAGGGCAGGTGCTGAGCATTCACACGTTGGGGAAGAAAAAGAAACTCATTTGTGGAGCGAGCACACACTCTCTGAGGTAAACCGTTCCAGGGCCTTTACATACATGTCCTCATTCAAACTTCACGTTGCATTGTGGTTTTCTTTAGGAGTTAAGTAATTTGCCCAAGAATACACTACTAATGAATGTAGAGCTACATTTTGAACTCAAATTATTCTGGTGTCAAAGTCAGTATTTTTTAATCCTGTACTATTTCTACTCTTCCTTCTCTACTTTACTGCTGACCATTTAAAATCTTTTAAAGTGTAGAGGGTGTGTCAGCCTTGGTTTCTACGGTGACTTCCTTGTACAAAAAAATTCCCAAATCTTTCCACATTTATCACTCACTCATACTGTATATGTTTGAAATATAAAAGGGCTATTGTTTCTACTGGAAGAATCTGTATTCAGGAGACTCTCAGTAAATAGTTGTGTGTTTCATTTCTATTTAATTTGGAACCATATGATTTTAGAATTTGAAGTCTTAGAAATCTTTTTGCACTATTTCCTCATTTTGGGGAAACTGGGGCCCAGAGAGGTGATGAATTCCTTAAGGACACACAATAATGGAATTGGAAAAATCATTAATTTAGAAAACACCACTGTAGTAAATATCACTACTGTAATTTTTAAGCCCAGTTTTCTTAGATATGTTTTGGCTTTGACAGTACCAAAGAGTTACTCATCTTTCTCTCTTTGCTTTCAGTTTAAGGTTAGATCTATTTTGCGCCCCAGTCAGTTTGGAGGACAACCATGTACTGAGCCCCTGGTGACTTTTCAACCATGTATTCCAACTAAACTCTGCAACATTGAAGAGATTGACTGCAAGGATAAATTCCGCTGTGACACGGGTAATGTACTTACAGCCTCCACTAAAAACGACTTGACTAAACTAAAGTTATTCCAATTGACTCCAGTAAAAGCAGTAATAGAGAAGTCCTACCATATTTTAAACATGGGGAGATAGAGGTGTTATGCTACCAATTACCAAGCTATTCATGTGTGAAATTGCAGCTTTCAAGCTATAATCATCTTGACCATTTACCTGATTGATTTGCTCATCAAGTACTGGTTCTCAGGTCCCTAAACTGTTATAAAGAAGGAGGAAGAGAAGAGGGGGAGGAAAAGGAGGAGTAGGCTGACACCTTTTAAAATCAGCTATTAATAAGCACAAATCTATAATCCGAACAAGCAATTGAAAAGGAGCTACAGATTTAAAAGATGTTTTCAGTATAGTTTATTAAGATAAGAATATTAATATTAAGATATTATGTTAGGGGGATGGCAAGAGGTGATGTGACAAATTTTCTAGAGTGTCTATTGAATGGCTCCAAAAGTAATTCCAAAAGAATTTGAAAATGATTTAAATGAAGGCAACATTTCTTTCAAGTTCAATACTCATTCAGATTCAGAAATTCTGATATTTAAATTTCATTACATTATAATCGAATCTTTTTAAATTAAATTTATTAGGGTGACATTGTTTAATAAAATTATATAGGTTTCAAGTGTACAATTCAATAATACATCATGTGTATATTGCATTGTATCAAATCTTAAAAATACTACTTAATCTATGTATTATCTTGCTAATTAATGGTTCTCCAAGGGTCACTATGTTCAACAGTCTAGATCAGATTTCTGCAAACTTTTTCAGCAAAGGTCCAGATGGTAAATATTTTAGGTTTTGTGAGTCATGTGGTTTGTGTTGCAGGTACTCAATTCTGGTATCTTAGCCTCAAAGCTGCAATAGACAGTGTATCAGCAAATGAGCAGAGTCCTCTCAGAGTCCCTACGACTAAGTATATTATTTTAATATGTATCTTTGAGAATTACCCATCTGGCTTATCCCTATGCACTGGGCCAACTTCTCCCTCAAAGTACTAATTTTAAGCATAGATGACTAGAAAATTTGCGACTGGTTATAAACATAATATGTCATTGCAGTAACACAAATCAATTCAAGCAGATAGGAAATCATGTACAATTTATAAGTAATTTCATAGCTCCAGGTGTAAGTATATATGTATTATGTATATGTGCTGGCTAAATGCTGACTTCTGCAAATATTGTACTATCCAAACTACTTTTCACCTTTCCCATGCCTTCTTTGGTATAGT